ATAGCCTACTATACTTGCACTGCCTTACCGTTTTCCATACTTATATATCTTAGCATATTCATACACTATTTCCATACTGCTCAGGGCTGCCTGTGGTATATCTAGCGTATTCATACCTCACTGTTTATTCATCATTCAATTAATTCTATATTTTAATTCTGTAGATTTTGTACATTACTTTTTCATTTTACTGCTTGTTGCCACCTCCTGGTTAGAAGCTATAACTGCCTTTTGTTCTCTCAGTACCTGTAATATGTGGCAATAACAATAAAGTTTGAATCTAATCTTGTGCAGGAACACATGTATTCTACGTACATATCCTGACATGTAACGATTAACACATTGTGCATTCTTTATAATGCAAACCGAGTCACGCCGACTCCGGTAGGCGGCAGTATGCAACTTAAAGTTCTTTGCAATCCACAAAAAGACCGGAGAGAAGAAGGCGAAGAAGGCGAGAAGGCGAAGAAGAAGAAGAAGAAGAAGAAGAGAAGAAAAAGGAAGAAGAAGAAGAAGAAGAAGAGAAGAAAAGAAGAAGAAGAAGAAGAAGAAGAAGAAGAAGAAGAAGAAGAAGAAGAAGAAGAAGAACCGACTCGGAGCTGTCGGACTTCAGGGGCGAGCTTTTTGACCTCCCCCGGCTGCAATTCGGCTATTCTCGTCTATTTTCGGGCGAGCCGCAGCTCAGTCTCAAACAAGCGTGTTTCGCAGCAGGCTTGTTTGAAACGCCGTTCATGCATGAATTATGAAAGCCCTCACTCAGGAATTTTTTAACCAAAGTGTTTTTATTGTTCTTGGGGCATGAAAAACAAAGATTTGACTTTATTTTTTTTTTATACAGATTTTCAAAGATATATTTATATTCCACTCAGGTGGACAGTATGGCGTTTTAAGGTTTAAACTGAGAAATGTGGTATTTAACAAAATATGGATAAAATGGTAAAAAAAAAAGATGTGCAAACTTAAATGATAAATATGTAAAATAAAGAAAATCTTGCATACATATCCAAAACACCATTTAGGAATACTCTACTGTATTTCAGCTTTTCTATTACCATGGTATTGGGCAAAGCACCCAGGGCACAAAGCCCACACGACACTGCATGCAGGTGTACTTGGTTCCTTTCGTGTGCATGCAGCATCCTGGCATTGTTTGCATTGTTTGGCTTCAGTGAGCTGAGGCCAGTGGTTTTCCAGAGCCAACCTGATCCTCAGGGGGTGCCTTGACACTGCCTGCGCTTCCGGAGTTGGGGTGGGACTGGGTCTTCCTCTTCCGCGTATCTTGATGGATCCTGCATTTATGAGGCGCACGAGCTACAGTGCCTTGGAAGTGCAGAAGATCCATCTTTCCAGACCAGACATTTTGTATAGGTGCCAGGCATTCCACAGTCGGTCACATGCAAGAAGTGGAAGACACTTGATGTGACAACCGTTTGTTTTGCGTCGTGGGATACATCGCGACACATTGATCCCATGAGATCCTCTCCCTCCCATATGCTGATTGTAAAGAGCTTCACCAGAAAATGGCCTTTGGGATTTGAGCATCTTCCTTTTCTTTCCTTGCTCCATCTCAATGGGCCACATCTGGATGGGGACTGGCCCAGTGGCAGGTAGAGCCATGTGGATCACTGAACTGTCGAGCCAACGTGTATACGTGAGCATTGGTGACAACAGAGCAAGCTCCTCTTCCTTCTTTCTTGATTGCCTTTTCACTCTTGGAGTTTCAGTTGTGCTCCATGGAGGCATGTTTCTTCTGCATGTACCAGTGCCACAGATCCCTGGCAAATTTCCATACCCGAAGGAGTGGAATGGGTAGTAAAGAAGTTGTCAAAAAACACCTTGTGATTTTTTTGCTGTATGTCCGTCACAGAGGCGTATTACTACAATCTGCAGCCATTCCCCAATTGGACTGATCTGACCACGCACAGCTGCACCCTGATAAGGACTTCAAACCTGTACATGTATCCAGAGGATCCTGCCTCTCACCCACTTTTACACCCAGGGTTTTTTTTTTTGGGGAGTACTGCTTGATAGACAGACGGCCCCTTGAAGGGAAAGTGAATGTTAACTCAAGAATCTGCCTCAAATCTGTTTTACTGGCATGGCATCTGCTATCAAATCAAGATGAAGCCCTTTATCTGATGACCAGTACATTCTTGATCTTGGGTATCTGATGTATGACATGACCATATTTATTTCTAGGAATGTTTTCATTTCGTCTGAGGTCACAGCCATATTTCTTTCCTTTTTGGAGTGCATACAAGTTTGTATTAAACACTATCAGCTCTTCGGGAAATAGATGCATAAAGAACTCTACTGGTTCTGTTCCCTGAACATTTGCTTTCCACTGTCCTAATAAAGGAGGAAAGTCTCCCTCAAACTGGTTGTCTCCTATTTTCCAGATGCTTGCTCTGGTAGGTGGCACATCCTCAGCTTACTCCCTCAGCATCCTCGGCTACGCTGTCAGTTTCATTAGCTCCTTTTTCTGGCAGTATGTCGTCATCACTGCCACTAACATCATCTTCACTCAAGTCAGATGGTATTTCCTCCACTATCTTGTAGGCCTTTCTATCACGGTCTGCTTTTGAGCACTACAAAATATAAAGATATACAAAATCTTAAAATGACATTATAATAACATAAGTATATTGATTTACGGCCCAAAACGATATTGCAAATTAAGTATTTTCAAGAACAACAGTAGCAGTAACAGTATGAATTGTAGTTGAAATATAGCCAGTGATGCATGACGTCCACTGTAGTGGACAGGTGGTTAATCACAGTATCCTCCCAACAGAAAATCAATACTTCGATCATTTATGAATTATATGATTCCTTAGTTGTTACTTGATGTCACCACATTTTTTATACCTGCAGGGGACGCTTTCCATAAAAGGATTGGCAAGATATCGACAGGTGACTTGGTCCATCTGGCGGTCTGTCGTCCATCTTGGTTTAGAGACATGTATCATGCACTTACACTGACTTTCCACTGAGGGGCAGTGTATGGGATGATGCAATAGGGTCCTATGTAGTGGCTGATGGTGCAACTATGCAAAAAAAAACAATGCATATACAAGAAAACACCTTTTGAATAGCTGTCCACTGTAGTGACCTCTAGCATGTAAACATGTCACAGTAGAGGCACAAAATATGAAGGGATCTTTGGAGTGTGATGATTACAGTGACCAACAATATTTTAAATGTACGTATGTGAACTTTACAGTGAAGATGATTTAATGTGTATAAATCAATGTAAATTGTCATCACATTTTGAAGTTCATCTTTTCCTTTAGGAGAACATAGACACATGTCCACAACAGTTTTTGGTGTAGTGCATTTGGATTACACAAGTTAGATTATTATTATCTCTATGTGATGATCAACAATGCTACAATACTCATTTGTCATCTAAATACTATCGTAGTGGGTGTTGTCTCTCATAAATAAACCCTACGGCATATTGTCAGAGCAGGTGTGATTTGTCATTGGAGCGTTGTACCATCCAGAGTCCTTGAGTTTGACATACGGGTAAATAAGGAAGTTTACAGTGCACGTGCTTTGTTTTCATCTTCACGCTTCCTGGAAGACTTACACAATGTCAAGTGTATGTGTGTGTGTGTGTGTGTGTGTGTGTGTGTGTGTGTGTGTGTGTGTGTGTGTGTGTGTGTGTGTGTGTGTGTGTGTGTGTGTGTGTGGGTGCGTGGGTGGAAAGAAAAAACCCCACACTAGCACATTTTGATCAAACAAGTATGAATGTATTCCTTCCTTTAATTACATATTCTTTAACAGTAAAAATAACATACCAAATTATCTGTCATATAGAAGTATTATTTCTGCGTCAGATACAAAACATAGAACATGAATATGGTATAACTGGCACTTTGGTCGTCTGACAGTGAGCTCCCTGTCATGACCACTGAAGAGCACCCAGGCTCAGTTTGACCTCCTCCCATGAGACTCAATAAGAGACTAGACAGAGTAATTACTCCAAATATTTCCCTAAAACATCATTATCTATGAATGGCATCGACAAGGCTTTCCAGTAACTCTCTGAACCATACAGAGAAAAGAAGAATGTGTTCATATGTTTCTGAGGCTAACTGGCTTCAAAAGTGGATCTTTGTGTGTATGTGTACATCTCTTACATTACCTCCTACTCTTCCTCCTACATCTTGGCCTTGCCCTCATCACCTCTACTGCCACTGGGGACCCCTCCTTCCTGCCTTTCTTCCTTGCAATGCGTTAAGGGATGGAGGAAACCGGTGTGCAAGTAAAAGGAAAGAACAACTTCAGCATCAGAACACCTCCAGTATCTTGATTCCTACATGGCAATAGGCGGGGAGTGAATGCCCATAAATGGTAACTTCCACCTCCCTTTTTTCGCAATACTTCCACTGCTAAGCATCTATTGTTATTCTTGCATTCTCAGCAATTACCAATCCCTTTTAGGTTTGAGCCCACTCCTCTATCGATTCACATCATTTTCTGATCTTAATTTGTCTCCTGTTCTCTCTTCTTGCTCTCTTAGCGTATTTACAAATCAGCCAATTTGCACCTCTTCCATCCATCTTGCATCGCCCACCGATGATTCATGGGGGTGACAAACCTACTGACGTATTTGCCTTTTGCAGAGCTGCCAGCATGTGACTCCATTCATCCCCATTCATCCACACTAACACACACACACACACACACACACACACACACACACACACACACACACACACACACACACACACACACACACACGCAAGACAGACAGATGCCCATCAGGGGACATCAGCTCCATGTGGTCAGTCCTCTCAATCCACATTAGTCACTGTTTAGTCAAATGGCGGCAATCTGCTACTTATTGGTGGATCTTTTTCAGTTCCATGTTGTTTTTGCTTTCATCACTGAATTACCATGTATAAAAAAAACTTAAACAGTGTGTAACTCATGTTGTGCCTACTGTCGAATACACTCCAAAAATATCAGGGAAGATTGATGCCGATTTCTATGAAGCAGCTGCAGACTATATACTTCATGACATCAAAAGGTTGCCACTTTTTGGATTATGGGGGTAGTTTCCAAATATTTGTCAGGCCATTGGCATAAACCATTGGAATGTTAATGGTGTTCCCCTTTTTTTTAAAGTTGGTTCAGCCCCAAAGAAAAAGCATGATTCAGGAAATATTCTGTGTATTATTTTTTATCAAGATCTTGATCTGCATCCATGTCAACAATCTTAACACAGTATATCAATATGTCACAGAAAGACATCAAAAAAGCAGAATATCTGGCTTCCTGATAGGAAGCATTATTTAACAGTTGTTGTCTCAGACGACAACACGTTTACAGAAAATGGTGGATGGTAGTGAGATGGATGGGTACAACTAGCTGATGAGTGGATTTATTAATTTTCTCCCGCATGTTGCTGCTTCTACGGCCAGCACTGTCCCTGTCACAGTGCCTCGCTGTGTTATCTCCGCCTCTTTTCTTATTGCTGCATGAACACTGTCTCAACTTCTCCCTCCTTTTTTATCTCTTCCTCTTTCTAATGTTGTTTTGTTGAACAACCCCTCCCTTTCTTCTCCCTGCCATTATCCTCACTGCTGTTCCTTTGTTCTTACTCTCTTTCCCCTCCAAGCTTCACAGTATATCTTCCTATCTGTTCCCTCTTTGAGCAAACTCTAATCCACACTGTGCTCTGCCCTATAGAAGCACTCCTAAATGGAGATGAAAGTTGAACCACAGATATCACAAAAGATCATACCTATTTACATAACACTTTAAGTGGTTACAGTATTGTCTTGCACTGATTCTAACAGCAATCGTAGTATTCGTAGCAGCCAGTACATTGGATGCACTAATAGCCATTATTGGTGACAAAATGAACACATCATTTACAAATTGCACTGATATCGGTGATGGACTCAGCCCTCCTAGCCCTGATTGCAGGGAAACTCAACGTGACACCATACAGGTGACATAAAGCCATACCTGTAGAGTACTGTAGATGTACTTGACCTTAGTTGAATAACTCTTAGAAAAGTGTTAAGCCCTGTAGGTGGTAGATTCAGACTCTCACCGTCCCCCTATCTCCCTGGCTGTGCCTTGAGAATTGGCTTACAGCAAAGCGGGCAAAGGGGGTGTCAGTCTAACAGGATTCCTCACAGCCTTTAAAACAGGCTGAAAGGGGAATGGGATGTCGCGCTAAGAGTCAGATTCAGCCGAATAGCAGGTGGAGGTTGAAGCAGAGACTGCAAACAGAAAGGGCTAGGAGTGTGAGGAAAGAGGGCGATGAGGGAGAGGAAGAAGATGTAGGCAGGTCAAAGTCAGGCGGGCATTCAAGCTCGAAGCATCGCAGGGTGACACCTGAGTCCTCATTGCCGTAATTCGCCCAGTACTCTTCTGCGTCGAGCTTGGGCAGCGCCAGCTCTTCCTCCCCCAACTCGTACTTGACTACTGAGGTTGTTGTGGATGGCCCTTTACCATATAAACCAGCTTTGACATTCTCTGAGGCTTTCTCGAAGACACCTTTCGTTGATGACTGAGGCTTGTTCTTGTGGAACCACCAGCGGGTTTTGGTGCTGAAGGTAGTGGTGGTGGAACCAGCGATGGAGCCGGCGTCGGGAAGGGGACAGGGGGCGAAGTCCATCTCACGAAGAAAGCGGAGGTCCTGGTTGCGGCGGGCAGCAGGGGATGCGCAGATAACCTCAGAAGAAGAGACGCGGGCCTCACGGAACCACTCCCACAGGCCGCGGGCCTCGCAGCCGCAGGACCAGGGGTTGGCGTTGAGGCGGAGGAACTCGATCCCCTGGGTGTCCCTCAGGGCCTGGCTGGGTAGCTCAGCCAGGGAGTTGTTGAAGAGGAAAAGCATGGTGAGGCGGCCGAGGTCACGGAAGGCTCTGCGGTTCACCTGCCTGATGCGGTTGTCGTGGAGGAGAAGGCGGTCGAGGTTGACCAGGCCACGGAACACGTTCTCTGACAGGGTGCGGATTCGGTTGCCATGCAGGAAAAGCTGGCTCAAGTTGATGAGGTCAGAGAAGATGTCGTCTTGCAGGAAGTGGAGATTATTCTCCTGTGGACGAAACAACAACAAAAAAAGGTTAAGCAAGAAAAGAAGAGACACAATGGTAATTGTATTATGTAACAAGATGTTGAAGCTGTGGGTGGCTGATATCTGTTTGTATGTATCCAGTGGTGGAGAGTAACTAAGTACATTTTCTTTCATTTTATACTTTTACTCCACTTATCTAAGAGGCAAGTGTTTTTACTTTTTACTCCACTGTATGTAATTGCTAACGTTAGTTACTTTGTAGATCATATTCTTTTTCATACTCTTCATAAAAAATCGAAATAATAATGTGTTTTCAAAACAACAATTACAAAAAGTGTATAAAGCAAATTATTTGAGGCATATATTTTAGCAATATTAAAGTGATTGATTAAAATCTAAATATATATTACATGGGATTCGGGAAAAAAGCTATTCTGTATCAGGTGAATACTTTTACTTTCTAAATGTTAAGGCTAAAAAAACATATTTTGTACTTGCGTTAAGATTTTGTAGGACTTTTACTTTCTATATCATAGTATTGCTACTTTCATTAAAGTAATAAGATCAGAATAATTAATTTGATGCTCAACAAGGCCAGCACTGAGTCTAACATTATTTAATTGCATGTATCTCCAGCGCCCCTACCTGCAGGTAGAGGAACTGCAGGCTGTAAAGCTTGTGGAAGATGTCATGGGGCAGAGCAGTGAGCCGGCAGCGGTGCATGTGGAGGCTCTGGAGCTTCTCAAGGCCGCGGAAGGCTCCCCCCTCCAGCCTGTGGAGGTTGGAGTTGTCCCCCAAGTCCAACTCCTCCAAGTCCCTCAGCTCACTGAAAGCCCCAGCTTCAATCCACGTGATGTTGTTAGAGAACAGCCACAGGACCTGATGCGAGAAAACGCATGAATTGAACGGTTATTCTTCTCCTCGGTGGATATTATTAAACATTAAATGTGAAATACAAATAATTATTTCACGACAAAAATCAAGCTTTATCCTTCCCATTCTGAAAACACCGTTTTAAAATTCCTTCTTACCTGAGTCCCAAATCCAAAAGAGCCAACTCTCAGCTCCGTGATGCGGTTGTTCTGGAGGAATACGCGCTGCGACTCATAGGGCACTCCGACTGGGACGGCGGTGAAGTTCTGCGCCTGGCAGCTCACAGTCATGGGCGTCGGGTAGCACACGCAATTGTGCGGGCACGCCGATGCCGGACTTGGCTTACCGAGGACCAGCAACACCACCAGCCAGAGGGAGAGACCGCCTGGAAGATAACGGGGGAGAGAGGAAGGTGAGCGAGTTGTCCGTGGTACTGACATATCACACCAGCATGCTGAATGAGTATGTTTTCTATTATTGCACTGGCATTCGAGTCAAATCTAGATTAGGTCTCAACTTAAGAGCTTTCTATTTTTACAATAAGTGAAGTTTACGCATCAGAGTACACTTAAACGGACCATTACGCACAAAATGATCACAACCATCTCAAAACGCAACAGCTCTTCTAAGCTCTATACAACGTTATTGTTATATTCCTCTCTACATTTTAAAATGTGACTATATAAATGTGTATATAAGTCTGATTTTATAAGTCATAATATAAGTAGACAGTTGCAAAGCAGAACGTCAAAGTCTCGGTTTTTTTTTAATCCATATTAGATGTTACATTTAAAATGTATACAAAAGTACATCAATCTTTCTTAGATTAGAAATGTAGTAGTCGTACAAGTATTACAATTCAGCATTAGCTCTAAGACTGTAGCATCCAGGAATCCAAAACCAAAGAAGACAAACTTACTTTTGCAGTTGAGCATAAAGGAGCATCGTCGGCTCCGAGAAATCGAAGAGGTGTCCATCCTGAACCAAAGCGTAGAGCGAGTTAGCCTAATAGGGCGAAGTAAAGCCTGCTATCTCTGCTGATGCCTAGTTCCCGATTCGGAGCGACTGTGCCGGTTGTTGGCTACCTCTGTCCCATATATACTCAAGCATGCCGTTATTGCCTACGGCAGTGGGCAAGGAGGAATCTCCTACGTCACCAATCCCGGGTCATGAATGAGTGAGGGCGGCAAGGAACGGAAAGGGGAGGGTCCCCACCGTCGGGGATTCTCTTGGAGAGCTTGTACGCGCGTAAAGATTGGGCTGGTTGGAGACGTGCGCTCAGGCAATGGGAGGAGGAGACGTTCTCGACGCACATAGAACAAAACGTAGAAAGGGAGATGGAGTGAAGAAACAGTAAAGAGAGGGGGGCAAGGCACGGTGCCCATTGATGATGACTGGGCTCTGTGTGTGGAGGAGCGCAGAACGGGTAGGAGAAGAGCGCATGGCTCGTTTCCTCACTGGCTCTCTCAGAGACAGTTAAGGGCTACTTCCGGCGCGCTGCAGCCAGACACAGAGATGCAGAGAGAGCTTAGATGGTTCTGTTTTAAGAAAAGAGGATGCCCTCAAATGATGATTCAACGACAAGCGAGAATTCAGTGCCAGAAGAGAGTCATTGGAAACAACCATGATTGAGTAGTATGTGCTGTAGAGGTTGAATACGACATGCTCCAATCAAGCTGTTTGCACAATTATAGATCCTGACATAATTTCTTAGATGATGTAGGTAGAAGTGAATACACTAGGCAAGAGTGGTTAGATGTAAGTGGGTTTTTCTTATTTTTACCCATTGGATCTTTTTATACAAAGACTGTTGAAGCAGGTAAAAGTGTAATTGCTCTAATATGTATTTTTTTAATTAAAGAAGAACAAATACTTAGGTACTACTAAGCTGATCGATTAGGAAAACGGGGGACGCGATTAATCCAGAAAGACAGCAACACACAGCCTACATTTTCTCGCCTTTTTCGAGTCTGTTTTGTCGAGCTGCTGATGACACTACCAAACAGCAAGATAGCATCAATGGTGACAATAATACTAGTGTGATAAATACAATGATTGCCTTTTCATTCTACAAATATAATCCAAATGTAGTTTACTATTTTAATGGAATGATTTAAAGCTCTGTAATGCAAAGCAAACAGCTCGGTAAAGTTGTATTATGTTAGAAATGTTTGCGTAATATTGAAAAAAGTGATATGTTGTGTACTTTATATCGCTTAAATGTTGCCTCTCATAGAACATAAAACATGTGTTTTTATATTCCTGGCCACTGTATGTACATATTGTTCTGTCATCCAGTGACCCATTGCAAAATAAATATCCAACGCTGCGTGGCGTAGTGGGTTGTCCGTAGGTGTTGGGATCAGGGATAAGGTTCAAACCCCACTGCAGTCAGCATGTCGTTGTGTCCCTGGGCAAGACACTTCACCCCAAATTGCTTCTGTGGGGATTGTCCACAGTATTGAGTATGTAAGTCGCTTTGGATAAAAGCGTCTAACAAGTGACATGTAATGTAGTAAAGGTGGAAAGATAACTATAGCTAAATACCATTAAACGCAATTTATTACCATTTTGGGCAATTCTTAACTTCATAGGAAGCTGCAAATAGATATTAACGCCTGGTCATGCCAACATTCTATTACAAACATTAACATCTCATTATTATTATTATCATACTGTGTATAGCTCATTTTAGATTTTTAAAGCATTTTTCCCTATTGTGTTACTGCAATGCACTCCTGCAGTGACTCGACATCTAGTTACTGAGTGGGACAAAAAGTTACAGATTATGCTCTGGGACATAATCAGTTCAAGAGTCTTAAGCAGGCTTCCAAGATGAACTAGCTTTTAAATTAAACTTTGTTTCGCACTTGTGTCAGTAAAGTCCTTGAATAAATTCAACATTATGTCCCTATTGTTTCTTATAATAGCAGCTTCAAAACTTGATGAAAAACTTAATTGTAAAAACGGGAAATGTGCCTCTCTCAGTCCCACTCTGCAGCCCAAACTCTAATTTCTGCAATGTGTAACTTTGATATGATATCCCCTGACAGTTTTACGGCACTAAATACATTTCGGTGAAACTTGATTTTATTTCATGATGTCTTTTGGTTGCTCTGCCTTGTGATAGGCCTGTACAGAGTTTCCTGAAAAAACAGAAAGCTAAACACTAACTGCTATCTGCTAACTGCACTTAGCTAGTTAGCTGGTAGCTCATTTAGCCTATTAGGGCAGTGTTGCTGTTTACCTGTTTAGAACAAGGTTTTCAAGCCTGGGGTAATGGCTGGTTGGGAGCAGTGCTGGTGTTGTGCCAGACCTGGAGCTAGGTGGGTAACATAACTAAGTTAGCTCTCTTGCTAGGTCTTGGGTTGTTGTATCCGCTTGATGATTGTTGTGTTAACAAATTAGTTCACTTGCTAGGTTTTTCATAATGAATAATGTCATTATAACAAGTTCATGTGTAGCACTAGAATTACCCATATGTGAAATAGCATTCATAAATGAATAGAGCTATGAACCTGTAACCGTGATAAATCACAAAACACAGATTCCGGCATTATGTTGCTTTAAAAAGCAATAGAACTAGCCCCAATATAAAAAGATATACAGTGACTATAGCACAGTTTCTTAAGAGCATTTTAGAGGAACACTTGACAAGAAAAAAAAAAAGAAGACATTGGCCAATATTTGCTTTTTTGTATGTCTGACATTTAAAGTAAATGTAGGCTTTTCAGAATGAAAGTCATGAGGAGGTAAACAACAGAAGTGCATCCATTTATATTAACACTCAACAGATGAGTATGATGGAAGAAATCGTCATATATATTTGTGTGTAAACAGAAGCATCAGGCATTAATGACATGAGTAATTGAATGGATCCATAAACTGGTGTGTGTGGTCTTGTTGTTCCCTCACACCTCCTGCCTTGTCCTTAACTGGTCTTATGGACGAGTTCCAGTACCCAGTGACCATCCGGGACCAAAACCTCACAGGCCACCCCTTCACACTCACCCACAGCACCAGCTGTTCCAGTGTGTGTGGCTGCCGAGGCACAAGTTTGTCTAAATGCCACCACGGAGTGTCAGTCAATCCCTGTTGTGCCAGTCACCCACACAGTAGGTTTGCGTGTGTAGGCACCGTCTCATCAATGAGTGTGATGCTCACAACGTGGTGTTTGTGTAATACCCTCATAGAATCAAATAGAGGCTTCCCCGGCCCACACCCACTCCTGCACATGTGCTGGCCCGTCTCTTTGTCCAATCTCTCTTTATCGGTCCCTCTGTCTGCATCCCGCTGCATCTCACTTTATTTTCTCCTTACTCGGCTTTGATCCACTGTGCGTCACTGTGTTGTTATCTTTCTCTGCGTGGCAGGAGACTCCTGGAGATTAACTGATTGCACTTTCGATCATCTAATCCAAATCCTGGACTCTTTTCTACAAGTGCGGCAGCGCAATTCTGTCCTGTGTGACGTCAACACTGATAGGAATTCGTAGGGATTGTTAGTGAGGGTCATGGAATACTGTATAGGTGTGACTGTTGCCAAGGTAACAACATACATCACACTGTTCTCCGGCCGGTCTTGAAGCTATTAAATATATATAATGTCTTCCGGTTATTGAACCCCTTTTTACACATTTGCTTCTCTTCATTAACATCCTGGAGTGTGGTCGATTTAATGGGGTCACTTAGTGAGTCAGGATAGATATTTTTCATGGTTTATCTCATTAGTGGACACAAAAGACATGTTTGCCTCCCATTGGGCAGGACTAATATGGAGAAAGGTGGTAGGGTGATGTGCATGCAGCAAAAGACACAAAGAAATAAAAGATAGAGTTGTGTCACGCACAAAAACAACGAGGGAAAGAAAACCAGAACATGTACTCGTGAAAGGTGACTCAACGTATCATATTGCTTTACAGAAAACTAGCAAATACATTTTTCATTGGCATGGCCCATCTTTCTCATGCTCACAGAGGCAGCAGCATGTTTCAGAGCCTGCCCAATTGTGTCCGACAAAGACGCACGTGATATTTCAACGTCTAATGTTCAACTCCCCTCTGCTACATCACATTTCTCTTTGTCTTCCAATTCTCCCTCCCTTTCCTGTCTTTCATTTGTTCTGTCCCCTCTGCGTCACTGCTTCCGCTCAACCATATACTGCTGCCTTCTTCCACATACTGGCACTCAGTCTGCAGAACACTGGTTGCGTTAGTGCAATGTAATTATATTTTCTTCTTGTAAGAAATGTATTTTGTAAAAATCTAGACAGCCAATTAGGGATACGGAAGCCGGGAAAGGCAAATGAGACAAATACAAATGCCAGGTTAATGCCAGAGGAAGTTTTGCCAGGATAATCTCTTTTCGATGACCAAATAGTTTTTCATATGTGAACAAATGTTTTAGCAAGGACCTTTTTTCTATCTTCTGTAAAAAGAGGTGAAAAAAACCTTCGGCATGGTCTTCAGACAACCAAAGCATTTGTGTTTTCTACAAGGTGAGCTGATATTGATATCTACTGCATATTGAGGCAGAGTCCCGCACGGGTCTGATTTTCAAGACCCGCTCCCGCCCCGCAGCCGCGACGTGCAATACCGAACCCGCCCCGCTACCCGCACATATTGCCAATTAGTTCCGCAACCCGACCCGACCCGTCGGCACAAGATCCGCAACCTGACCCGCAACCCGACCCGCAACCAGACCCGAACCCGCATAGCCTATATATGAGCAGTGAAAGCATATTTGTCTCAAAAAGCGTGGGATGTTGGTTATTTTCTCCATCTAGGATGACACCAAAAGCCTCCCAGACGTTGGATTTCGCTCTTGAGGAAGTGTTATTGAAAATGCTGTATTCTCCGCTAGAGAGCTTCACCTCAGCCATTTAGAATGTGGCGCGCTCAGCAGCAGATTGATGCGCTGCAGAGGTTATGATTATGCGGGGGAGAGGTCTGAGGATTTAAACATTAACAGAATCTAAACACTAAAATTATTATTAATTTTAATATATTTATTATACAATACCCGCGACCCGACCCGCATCATCATCT